TGAAATTTGCCTATATTTCATCCAAAATTACATAAACAGTACTGAAATTTTGGATAAATTTCTGTACTTATACAGTAACATGTCCTCGTTTCAAGATCTGTTTTTAAAGAACAGATTTAATAAAGAAAAATACCTTTCCTTAATATTTTAGCTATTGGATGATGCCAATAATTTGTTGAAGTTTTCGAAAAATCGGGATTTTAACGAAAATGTGGCTACCTCATTCTCTTAAACGTCCCGTACAGCAGGGCTCAGACGAACACGATGTCAAGGACCCACAAAACGTGTCTTCTGGCTCCATCACGTGCTAGAGAATTTTTTCTAAATTTAGCAACTGAATTTAACCACTTTTTCTACTCCAAGTCCCGCCAATAAGACTTTCTCTGCCAAAAATTTCCCCGCAGCGTTACACAACTTTTTCTCTACTGCGTAAGCGGAAGCGAGAAAGTAAAAAGCGGTGTACTATTTTGAAGCCAGAGAGTGTTAAATCAGTTTTCTATATGTCTAGCCTTCATCTACCCTTAAATATTTATTAATACTTCATGATACTATTGCATTAGAGGTCATAGTAATGACTTTGCTAATAATTACATAGAAGTTAAAGATCTTTATGAGAAAAAAAGTGAATAAAAAACAAGCATATTTTCTAGTCTCGAATTTATTCTGGAATTCATTTTATAATTTCGCTAAGAATAAAAAAACGTACGTAAATGCTTGGTTAAAGGAACTACGTAACGCGTAAGCTCCAAACCTTGTGACAACTGATCAAGTGTCAATTCTACCGTCTGATATTCAAGTAGAATTACGCCACGAAACTAATTCAATCACTTGTCACTTTGAAACTAATTTGTAAGATATCTCCAACATCCGTGTTCTCTTTGCACAGAGGAAGTATATCGTAGGAAGAGTCGATCCAATGTATCTGCAATACATATAGACATACACTTTAATATTTAAATACAATTACTTGGTCGATAGCATGTCATCCTTTCAGTTGGCCGAATGACTACGCATCGTGAATATTTATCAGTAAGAGTTTTGCATTGACCTTCTATTAGAAGAGATGATGAGAGTTGTCACTGCTCTTCATGCATTACGCTAAGTTGTTTTACTTTTATATAAACGTTTAACTATTAACTTGTATCAGACCTTGTTGAGGGCAGTGAGATATATATTTTTGATAAGTTCATACAGATCAGGTGAGCATTTTTTAACTAGTGATGCTACAACACCACGTAGTTTCTTGCATTAGGAATGGTTATGTAATGTAATTCTTGCTGTCCATACCAACACATATCAGAAATTACTTGTAAAACTCTTTGCTAATCTAGCGCGTGAGGTGGGAACCTGCAATTACATTGGCAGACATCAATCGTTGCCATTGGTTACTTTTTAACTAAACAAATGTGATTTAATCGCAATAATTTGTAACAGCAGGTCATGGTACAGATAAGTAAGAATAATTTCCACAAGCATGTCTTTAATCATGAATCTCCAAAAAGATATATGAGCTTGTTAATTCATAAAATTTAAGTTACAAACCTATCATCTTTACCATTTAAATAATATATTTGGATACTTTTCAAATGTTTATACAAAACTTATCATTTTAAAGCTACATGCAAACAAATTCAACTACTCAAAACAACGTTCCGTCCAGCGAGAAACATCGTCATTTAACAATGACATTCATAGAATTCAGCTCACAAATTACTGTGTCGCGTCTTAGCCGTCCACATATTTTACTTATGGCCCGATATGAACTCAGACGCAGTCACAATTCGAAGAAAACTACAAATAGAACCTGTTTTAAATTCTATAACAGCATATACGTTTTTGTTTTACCTGGAACGGATACGTAAAATTCGTTGTATTTATTGCAAATTGCATCCAGCCTACTCTTCAGCTTTCTCATGAAAGACTCTTCAGAAAAAGAAGTGCCACAGACACAAAAAGTGGTTTTTACTTTCTCGTACACACGGAGTAATTTATGTAGTATAGAGAAAGTTATGTATTGCTGCGGAAATCGATGAAGAGATTTCAAAGGATATACACGTTTTACGGTTCCCCGATAAAGTGCTTTTTTTTCACAGAATGTCCGTCCATGCATCCGTTCGTCTGTGTGTCTATCCTTCTGTTATCTGTGAACAACACTGCAGCTGAATTTATCCACTTTTTCGTTACCAGGGCTCTGCATTAAGAGGTTTTCTGATGAATATTCGCATGTTTTTTTCGAGCAGCATTACATAACTTTCGTTCTAAGCCGTAGTGAGAAAGTAAAATAGCACTGTCAGATAAGACGGTTGGTGAGACAGGGATTGTGGCTGGCTAGACAGCTGTGATTTCTAGACCCGCCTGTCGTGAATATTTAATTTGTATTTGGAGAATTGGTGGGTGAGTGGGGGTATTCCGAATCCCTCGTGAATTACACCTATGTACTTACCCTTCAGTATCTTGGCCTCGTATGGTTAACATGCAACTATACCCCGTGCATGCATGTTCTCCCGGGGGGTTTTCTCCCTGAGGTGGGGGAAGGTAGGCCATTTCCTCAGTTACACACATAGTTGCCTGATAGGCTAAGAGACATTGGAATGACAAGTGCATAGGTGTAATTCACGAAGAGCTCGCAATGCCCTCCTCCCAACGAACACAAATTAAACATTCCTAGTGCGTCAACTTCTATGGTCATTAGTCCCATAAGTGTAATCCATAGTTTTTTCAATGGGCGGTGATCTAGCCCCGATGAATGGTGAGATCCGGCGCCGACCTACACATCAGCTTGCGTGGTTTTCCCTAACCAAGTGTCTCCCAACACCAGGACACCTCCCCAGTCGGTGCAAGCTCAAAGTTCCCGACTGGTCTCTCGACATATGTAGTAGTGTCGTGCATGTATATTTAAATGTTTAGGTGAGGAAGGGGCGAGGACATGTCATGTAAGAAGAAGAAGAAGAAGGAAAGATTTCACGCGATGCGCGACCCGTTTGTTGGGGTAGAGCTACGGCAGTCACCTGGTATTGATCGTAGAAACAACGGAAAACAACTGATCAGAGCAACCGACCTCTAGAGTTCTCCTCCAATCACCGGCTGAATTCGACCTAGCTACACAACTAGTGTTGAAAATCCTACTTGACTCAAACCCATGCATCTCCCGGTCAGAAGCACTGCAGAGTCATCAGTTGATGCCCTGAGCTACCTAAGTCGGTTGGTGTATTGGCACACATCAAATGTGTATTTGTACAGTGCGGAGATAGGCCTATGCGAAGTTCGAAAAGCCCGAAGTTGCTTTCACTTTGAATGCTCCCACAAGATTGATAGAGCATGTAAAGATGGCGGGCTGAATTTTGAAAATTCTAAATATTTTGAGAGTTCTGGATAGCGAACAAAGAGTTCTAGAGTTCTGAAAAGGTTTTGAAAAACGTTCTGTAAAATTTCGAAAATTATAACAAAAAATTAAATTTATCACAACAAATGGCACCGCGGGCCGCCAGTCGACTGCGCTGTTCTAGTAGAATTGAAATGATTTTAAAAATATTTTATAAACCTATTTCAACATGCATATTTTCATTAAAAAAATTGGAGCTATTTTGGGAAAATGTCATTTGAAAATGCGCAATTTTGAGGCAATTTTCACAAAATTGTTGAGCTTTTTACGAGTTCAAGAAATAATTTTGAGCACTTCTAGTCACAAATACAATAATGAAAAGAAATAAGCTGCTAAAGTAAATAGTAACTAAATCAGAGATTAAAAAATTGTATTTTTTTTTAAATGAAAAAAAAACTTAAAAATGTAAATTTGTCGTTGTTCAGTGCATTTGCACTATCCGTTCATTGATTTTAATGCCGAAGTAACTTTGTTTCTATTGTCGCTATGGAAACAAACGGTATCAAAGTGCTTAAAACACATCGATCCGATACTGCAAAAGTATTAAAGACGTGCATGTATGAAAAGCCAAGTTTTACGTTTATTATTACTATTGTCAAATTGACCCACAGATAAGTCAAGTGACAGGGCTTCAGGCAGGCGAGCAGTTCCTGGACACAAACTATGGGTTCCAAACCAGCGTGAGACATGAATGTTGTAGGATGTCTGCGTAGCTTGGGAGACATTTTGGGCCTCTCGGGTGTCACATCCTTCCATAATCCCTTGGCCTGTCAGACAACTGAGTGAGAGAAGTGTGAAAATTGATGAACTGAATCCCTACAGTTAGAACAATGGCGCAAGTGCCGAGATGGGGCTATGGGAAACCACAGACAAGTATGTGATGTCCTATGTGATGTTCGGGGATCGCGAAAGTGCTCTTTACTGAGAATATCCCCAGGGGAGCAGTGGGTATCGCGAGAGGCCCTCATAGGTCTTTCAGCCTTCGATAGATTCCCGAAAGAGGGAGGGGTGAAAACAAAAGGCTAGTCCACGCTCAAGAGAGAAGGACACTAACTAATTCGAGAAACTCTGTGCCATTCTGTAGCATCTATTTGTTGTTGTTATTTGTGTTTGCAGCCTGTGAACCCTGTTTTTCTTTTTTTAACAAACGGAGGCGTTCACACGGGGAGCTGTCTGCTCCCAGCGCGCGGACCTTCACCCTCCAGTCACCTGTCGGGCCGCGCGCGCCTGTCTGGTTGAGCTGGGCCGGGCGGCCGCGCAGCCAGCCAGCCGGGTGGCCGGCCACCTGTTGTGAATGGCGGAGAGGAGACGGCCGCCCGCCCGTCTGCCCGATCTGCTGCGGGGCGGGCCCAGGAGGTCGGCTCGTCGGGCGGCCTTCGCCGCGCCCCGCCGCGCGCCCTACCCCCCGTCGGCCCTCCCCCCCTCCCCCCGGGCAGCGCCGCTCGCCGCCCACCGCGTCGGCCCCCCCGCAAAGCCCGCCGGCAGCCAGCCGCTCGCCTTACACGCACGTCGTCTCTCTCCCTCTCTCGCTCGCATCCACACACGTCTTGCCGGTTTTTTGTGCGCACACGAAAGACAGGGAGTGCGGAGGAGCGGAGGCGCGGCGGCAGAAGAGCGGTTGGCGGCGCCTTCCTCCGCGTGCAGTGCGCGGAGCAAGTGCTGGGGCGATCGTGCATCGTGGCGGAGAGGCGGCTCTAGAGAGATACCGCAACGTCTGAAATGCTGATGCGGGTGTGGCAAGGTGGTGTAGATGCTAGTGTTTCGCGGCCGATGTCGTCCGTACGGAAAAAGTGAGATACGATCTGTGACATCGCAAGAATTGGTGAACAGTTCCAGGTAAGACTCTCGAACTTTTTCATTAGGAGATGAAGTATGAGTAACTCTTTCTTTTGCTAACCTCAATGAAATTCTTTTACCATGACAATAAATGCACCTTTCTTAAATTTAGTTGATAGCTTGAGAGATCTTTTATTATTGTTTGTTTAGCATCATATATACGGTTAAATTGGGGGAAATTATAACACCTTATGTATTTTGTAAATACTTTTTCCAGTATTATGAGTGGTTTGTTATTACAATTCAAATGCATGAAAATAATTTCATCAGAAATTGGAGTCATCAACTGGTATATTTAAATATATTTTGAAGTAAACTGAGTAGTCTCCCAACACTAGACATAAATATTCTTTTAACAACAATTTTACTTTGAGAATGAAATTATTTAAACATAATGCGTTATTTTATTCACTACAAATATTGAAACATTGAAGGTTTCCCTTCATAAGCATTCTTTGAATTTTGCCTTGAGTAAAATTCGTATCATGTTTAATTAATCGTAGATCACCTCATCAAACAGGTAACTCCGCAGACAAATAAAACAGAAGAAGCAGATGTCATAATCAATTCAAAATAAACACAAAATAAGACAACTGAATATTGTTTTGAAATTACTGAACATTTTATTAAAAAAGGAGCATTATCTTCAGAGGTGATTGTTACTTTCTCGCAAATGCTCCGCAAAATAGAGAAAGTATTACAAAGATACGAGAAAAAACTGTGATTTTTCAACAGAATAACTCTTATTACCAAACCCTGGAAATGAATAAGTGGATAAATCTTGTCCCTAGATGTAGTAAGTGAATTCCTCTACCACGTTCTGCAATCAGAATTTTCTGTGTCTTTAATATAAAAAAATTAGTTGACGGCAAAACCTGCCTACCCGTCAGTCTGTCTGTGCTCAACTCTAGCCCCTAAACAGCTCAAACGATTTTCTCTAAAATTGATATTCACAGATCGATCTGAACGAAACTCAAGGTCCTGCGAGTCTGAAACGGATTTTTTTTTGGGGGGGGGTACTTTACAAGAAACCTCAATTACATTTTCCATCTTTTCTCAAAATTGCAACATTTTTTTTATTTCACTTTGTCCTCAGATAACGTAGTAAACGTTTAAACGATAGGTTTCGCTTCTTCTCTTAATGAATGTCAATGTTCTTATTAATAAAAACAGTTCCTATTCAAATTTTTAAAATTTAAAAGCAAATTGTTGTAAATTCCAGGAAAGGAATTGAATTCTATCATGGTATTTAACGTTTCTTTTAGTTTTATATGTAACGTCTCTGACACAAATCTCGCGCCCTTCTGCTGTTCTTGTTCCAGAATTATTACTTGTTCGAAATCCATGATTCGATGATCTTTCGAGTTAATGTCTCTTCCCAGTTTGGTTTTTGAAATGGTTCTTTTATGTTCAGAAACTCTTTGTTTAAGTTTTCGTAGGTCTGACCAATATAAGCTTTGGAGTATTGAGTACAATTGATTTTATATACATCTTATTTCTGCAGTTTCTCAATCTTATCTTTGCTATTTTTTTTTGTTAAAAACCTTGTGTACAAATCTAATTTTTTTCTTAGTAGAAGTTGTTTTATGAATGTACGGGTAAATTTTGGAATGCAAGGGATAACAATATTCTTATAGTCAGCAGATTTTGAAATTGTAGAATGTTATACCTTAAGACACGAAAGTCTTCTTTTGAAAAATTATTAATAATTATTTCTTCCTCATTGGTCCCCCCTTTCTTGACGGTTGAAATACAATACTTACTCGTAACCGTTCAGTTCCGTAGCAGTCCTCACACAGACTGTTAACTGAATTAAACAGACGAAATGCAGATTCACGGTGTTTTTATATGGTTTTGTAATTGTATGTAAATATTGTAAATAGTGTAGACTTGTTATAACTTACATTCTATCTCTACTTAAAACAAACTTCTGGGTGTGTATATCTATATCTATATCTATCTATCTATCTATCTATCTATCTATCTATCTATCTATCTATCTATCTATCTATCTATATATATATATATATATATATATATATATATATATATATATAACGTTATACAAATAATACAACCTTAAGTTTATGACGTTTCATGGGTAGTTTATTGTAACTTCAAGAAATTCTTTACGTTATTCACTTTTGTAAAATGGAGCTTATGTTTTGACTCCCATATAATCCCAATTTTGAAAAATGTGTATATTTTGTCTTTAAGCCAGATGTCTGAAGATGACTTCAAGGTAGTAGCTGAAACGTCACGCCAACATATAATGTAGTTAAAAAAAATCACAATTATGTATAAGTGTACATAAATCTGAATGTCAAAAATTGAAGAGGAATTATTTTATTAAGTAAATGAAAGTCGTAGGCCTCATTTTCGTTAAAATCCCTGATTTTTCGAAAACTGCAAAAATTTAAAATTTTCTTCGGCGTCTTCTTACAACAACAATATTGAAGATAGAGATTTTTTTAGCTTCAATAAAATCTGTTCTTCGAAGACGTATCTTGAAATAACGTCATGTACAATTTTTCGAAAATAGGAGAAGTTTTTGCGAAATTTTCCTTGGAACATATATAATTTAAACAAATGTAAACAATTATTATTTTATTAAAAAAATATCCAAAATTTTATTTTATGTTTTCCTGGTGTGTAGCAAAAGACGGTAAAGAAAGAGGTGCTGGTTCAATTTTTGGCGAACTAACTGTAGTTTCGAAAATTGCAAACGTCTATAGAAACTTGATGATAGAAATTTTGTTGTTAAATAAAATCAAAACAGTCATTTAAAAAGCCATGTTAGCTTTTAAAAAAATATTAGTAATTTGGCGTAAATTGCATTTTTGAAATTGAAGATTCGAATTTCCCGCACTTCCTTTGCGAGACCGTTGGTGAGGCGAAGTAAAGCACGTGCTCTCGTGGCACCATTAGTTGATACTATTTATGATGGAAGAGGTAGTCGCGAAATATGCTTTGCAAATTATTTGGGGGCGGAATAATTGTTTATGTAACTAATAGCCCCATTACTATAACCTCAAAGAGCTATAGTAAAACTAAAAGCTTTAAAATAAGATACAGCTCTCCATTCTTGCAATAGTTGTCGCATGTCAGAGAAATAGTTCTAATGTAAATATCTATCTATATGTATCATCTATATGTATTCTTGTCAACTGTTTTTCTTCTCATTGTCTTTAGAGAAAGACAATAAATTTGTTATCCATTCCTGTTTGGTGTGCATTTTATTATTAATTTATTATTATTTAGCGCTCGTTGCTAATACGCCGGAACCTTATTCCTTATGTAATTTGCCAAAATTGAATACTCTTAGTCGTTAAACGTTTAACTTTGGACTATGCACCTATGCTCGTGTAACACGGGCTTTGGCAAGTGAGCGAGCGGCTTCACCTCGTCTCGCCACTTTTCTGAAAAACTATTACTACTATTATTACTATCAAATAATCTAGGGAGCGAGCGCAAAGCAAACAGCGCGCGAGGTCGCATCAAAGTCCGTCACCTGGCGAACAATTCATGCGGAGAGATTACGAACTTTCCATATCCAGTGAGTGCAGTATTTGAGAAGTACACACTGGTCTTCAATTTTCTAGGCATTTCCTTCGCAAATGCAAATAAAAATAAGAATCCTTTAAATTGGTCAGATGAAGCGTGTTTTACAAGAGCTGGCACAATTAATGTGCACAATTTTTACATGTGAAGGCCGAGGAAAACCGCATGTTATACGTAGTGTAGCTCACCAAGAGTGATGTAAATGTAAATGTTGGTTGGCATTGTGGATTTATTTATCCTCGGTACTCACTGCTTGCCAGAGCGTTTAAGAGGCGTTCACTTTCTGAATTTCATAACCCAGGTAATCCCAACGATTTGGGATCTGGGGGCAATGAAAGACAGCGTATATGCTACCGAAGTCGAGGCCCTTCTTCGGCACATTGAAAGCGTGACTGTAGAAATAAAAGCACAACTCGGCAACGTTGTACGAGTCATAGAGGACGTGCCTACCTTGCATTCACGCCATTTTGAACACTTATAGAACACCTGTTAGGCCCGCAACACATTACACTGAGGAATGCGTTGCGAGAAATGCGGAATATCGAAACAAGGGACACTTATCGACTCCCACACACTAGAATGAGATTTCTCGTTCGCATCTGCAAAGGCGAATAAGTTCTCGCTCGAGTGGGCCAGCGAACGAGTTTTCTCGGACACATTTCTACTCCTTCACTTGTTATAGGACATTTAGGCATTTGCTGCCGCAAGAAAACAGTGCGTAGTTCTACTGAAGAACTGAGTCAGGTTATAATATTTAGCACTTGTGATAAAGAATCAGTTTTTTTATTGTTTACTTGATTTTTTTCTTTAAACGTAAACGAACAAGAAAAAAACCTGTGTGGAAGATATTCTTACTTGAATGAAGCCTTTTCATATTGATCAATATAAAAATAAAAATTTAACGCAAGGAACGTGTGTAGTATCGTAGCGTGATCTAGGACCGAAGGATTGTGGGTTTGAGTCCCGCCTCGGGCATGCTTGTATTTGTGTTCATCCTTTCGCTTCCTATCATCACCATATCATGTCATCTTCACAGTTACCATACTGTTAAATGCAATAGTGGTCGCCAATGACCTAGATGTTGACGCGACCACATATATATATATTATATTATATACTATATATTATATATATATATATATATATTAGATTTAGATTTATTAATAATTCTGCAATTAAGTTGGAGAACTTGGTGGCAGAATACACTAACTTAACATAGCAGAACTTAGCAACTATACAAAATCTACAACTTTACAAAATCACATGAACATTTCGCCTGCTATCTTTCATAGAACTCCACTTCACCACATTCACCGCACTGCGATACAGCGACGGTAATGTCTTTCTTACTCACTCGTTTCTCTCAGTTTCAAACGTCACTGCAACTTCACGCCCACTGCACTGCACATAATAATTAATAATAATAATAAATAATAATAATAATATAATAATAAGAAGAAGAAGAAGAAAGAAGAAGAAAAAAATAATGATAATAATAACAACAATAAAACAATAATAATACTTAATTACATAGAAGACATAGTTAATTACACGAATTTAATTAAAATATATTTATAACCACATATCTACATTCAAGAAACCTAATTTATTTTTTAAATTTACTCAGGCTCTGAGGAAAGGGATCGAGATTGTCACATGCAAACCGTTCCGGCTCTAATATGCGATTCGCGAATGAATATTTCCGAACGTCCTTTTTCTGAATTCTTGTCCATTTTGCTGCATGTGATCCGCTCTGCCAAAATATGTTGGTTTCCCTAATCGGCTTTGAATTTCTTTCACATGATCGAAGGCTTGTGTACGGCTTTATACATTGCATAGAGACGTGACTTTAATCTCCTCCTTTCGAGTGACTCCCATACCCATTATTCCTGTACCCTGAAAGTTAAATTTGGATGCGCTACGCTGGATCTTTTCTAGATTTCTTTGTGCAAAATTCTGAATGGGTACCCAACAACCGCGCCATATACTAATATAGGTCGCACTAATGACATATATGCTAGTTCTTTGGTTCCCACTGTGACTCTTTTTCAGTATCCGCGTAACAAAAAGTAAAGATTCCAGGCTTTCCCTACAACAAAATTGACTTATTTTCCCAGCTAATTTACTGTCTAGCTGTATTCCTAAGTATTTGCAAGACGTGTCTTGAGGTATACATTATCTTTCAGTTTGTACGCAGATTCATTGTAACTTCGTCCCCACCAACGTGATGGACTTGCTTTTCGAACTGTTTATCTTCCATGCCGTTTGTTTCTGCCAGATATGTAATTTGTCTAAGTCTCGCTGCCAAAATATCCTCGCCAAGCATATCCTGTACCGGTCTCCGTTCACAGGTCGGCAGCTCCGCGCATCATCTTCAAAAAAGAACGGGCTGATCACCGCCTCCTGCCAGGAACCCACACCACACAGTCGTGCGTTCGTGGGATGCATCTCATCTTCCACAGGTCACTCGCGGATTTTCAGTAGCCCAAATTCATGCAGTTCTGCGTATTGCCGAATCCACTGAGGTGAGCTGCCGCCCATCTGAGAAAGATTATTGTTTTTGTGAGTTTTCGTTCTCCGCTTGTCGATCAAGACCCATTGAGCAAATCCGACGTCTTTTTTCCATGATCTGCAGGCTTCAACTCTTGTGTAAGTTGAATCTTGTACGCATGCATTTCAGATTCTTTTGAAAGGATGATATCAGTGAACTTTGTGATAAATTCAATTGTTGAGCTCGTCGGCGAACCGATTTTCTGGGCTTACGGTCAAATTGTCACGCACGGCAACAATTTTTCTTCATTTCGAAACAGTACGCCGTGTCCTGTTTCTTAATGTTTACACAGAACCTGTGGTCTCAAACTTCCAAAATTCAATGTCCGAACTGACGATTCTGTCCGAGTATCCCACGCAATTCCACGAACGTGCGGTGGGACTTTCACTGTTCTTGTAATAACTTTTTATCACCTGGATGCGTTGCCTCAGTAGTCATCTGCTCCAGTGATGAAAATAAACATCAAACACAATTGCTCACCACACAAAATCTATCAGGGATACTAATGGGAAAGATAACAGATAACAAACATGAGTAAAACCAGGTTTGCAATCGTCGTATGAAAAAATGGCGCAAAATAGAAGAATTCGTCCTTACTATCCTGAACATCCATCTATAATATATATATATATATATATATATATATATAATATATATATATAATATATAGAATATGCTGTGTGTGTGTGTGTGTGTGTGTGTGAAAAGTATTAGTTTCACTCATCCTCATTAATCCATTCTAGTTTATAGGCAGTAATTCTGCACGATTTAAAGAAACAAATACAAAAGTTACTAATACGTCAACATGTTTATTCACATTAAAATATCATAAGTTTAATTCTACACTTTCTTCGATAGTAGTCGCCAACAGTTAGTTTTACAAAGTCTACTTGTTGCACTACGGGTTTCAAGCCTGTAGGTCTTTTCATCAAATTAATTTTCTTTAAAATTAATACAATTAGTATATTACAACTCAGTATTAAGTGTAAGTCCCTGAAATAAAAAAGTATGTTTTCTACAAAAACTTGAATATTGGAAAATATTTTTTCTAATTCCCTCATTTTTGAATTATCAAATTTAAATACATAATACATTATGCGCGATAATGAAAGTTGACAAGATGGCCAACA